TGCTCTTTTGGGAAGATAGGGTCCTTTAGAAAAAGAACAGGGTAGGGTGGGAGACTCTTCTGCCTTAGCTTAACATGCTTGGACATGGAGAGAGCCTTGTGAGGTGGGCTGTTTCCCACCGTGGCTACTGGGACTTGCAGCTCCCTCAGCCAGTGGGTGCATGCCTGTGACGCTCTGGAGCTGAAGCCTCAGGACCGGGAGCAGCTGGACACCTTCATTGACCAGTTGTACAAGGACATCGAGGCAGGTTGGTAAGATGGGGCTGTGGCTTCCCGCATTCTTAGAGCTCCCCTAGTCAGAGAGTAGGCACAGTTCTTGCCAGGGATGGCTAAGCTCATGGTAGGGGAAAGGAACCCCTGTGTGCCCACGGAATGCTTCAGCTCAAGCCACAAGACATACAGATGAAAAATGGTCCTGAGATCTATCCAGAGGCTCCATGCCGAGAAGAGGGAGAGTACCAGATAAATAGGTACTCTCAGAGGTTTGTCTTAGAGAAGGAAGTTTAGGTACAATACTAGAACCTGGGTGGCAGGACAGCTGAGCTGGTGTCTTGTTGTGGTTTAGTTTCCTTTTCCCACTGACATCTTCACATTACTTTCTTACAGCAACCGGCGAGTTCCTGAACTGTGAAGGGTCTGGTCTCTTCGTGCTTCAGAGCTGCTGTGAGTCTTGGCACTGGGGAGGAATGAGTCCACATGGTTCTGCTCTTACCAGGCCGTCTTTCCCAGTTTGCCCTGTTTGGGCTGACTAGGGAAGTCTAGAGTGGGGTTAGGTCACTTATTCATTCATTCATTCACTCATTCTGCTTGTTTGCCGTATTACTGGGAGCCAAACCCAAGGATTCATTCCCATCCTTCTGCTTGTGTTTTAGTAGACATTTATAGTAGGCCATGCCCCCTAAGGGGGAGACACAGAGCCCTGCTTCTTGGAAAGGGAGGCATGAGCATTGTACCCACCACTGCCCTGTGGGGTGTAGTCAGGAAGCACAGGGAGAGCCTGAGGCCTGTAGGATCCGGGAAGGGGGCTCCTTTGCACCTTTTTCTCTTTTCCAGATCCCACTTTCCCACCTCCTGCTTTCCTCACTACTAAAAAACCTCTCCTCCCAGGCTGGGTGGTCAAGGGTTCCAAGTCAGCAGACACAATGTCTGTTGTAGATGCCCTCAGAGCCTCTCACCTCCTTTGGTGAGACAATGGGACACAATTGAGAACATGGCCAGTGTTGTGGAGTAAGGGTAGAGCCGGCAGTGATACAGCAAGGCATATTGTATCAGTATTGTGCTCTTCAGGAAAGAGCAGTAAGTACTGGGACAGGATATGGGGTCTCACACCTGCCCTTCCCTGCAGTATTGAACCACAAAAGTGATCAAGGGTTCGGTAGTATTAATGCTTTTTTTAAAGTTTAGAGACAGGGTTTCCTGTAGCCCAGGTTGACCTTGAACTTACTATGTAGCCAAGGCTGTTAGGAACTGATGGCCCTCGCTCCACCTTCTAAGTGCTGAGGCTACAGGCATACCATGCCCTGCTTTGTTTTTTGAGACAGGGTCTCTTGTGTCCTGACTAGACTGAAACTCACTTGTGCCATCAGTTGGGCCTCAGACTCACAGCAAATCCTCCTGTCTGGCTCATGGGGGGCCGAGATCACAGGTGTGAGCCACTAGACTTGAGAATATTAATTCAGTTTTATTTATTTTTTTATATTTGGTTGTTGTATTTTTTTAGTTAAGGTCTCACTATGTGGCCCTGGCTAGCCTGGAACATTTTCTGTAGATCTTCTTGTACTGCCTCCCAAGTACTATGATCACAGGCGAGTGCCACCACACATTGCTCCGCTTTGTTTTCACATTTATTTACATGCACACACAGGCTATGGTGCACATATAGAGGTCAGAGTCAAGTCTTTCTACTAAGTGGGTTCTAGGGATCACACTGGGGTTGTGAGGCTTGAAACAAGCACCTTCACCTGCTGAGTCATCTACCTGCCCCTAGAATTACATTTTTGTTTTGTGACTTTTGTTTGGTGTCCTTGTCATCCCTCCTTCCCCTAGGGTTTGTCTGTGTAGTCCTGGTTGTCCTGGAACTATAGACTAGGCTGATCTTGAACTCAGAGATTCGCTTGCCTTTGCTCCCTCCCCCTGCCCCAAGTATTGGGATTAATTAAAGGTGTGTGCCACCACTGCCCAGCTAGAATAACCATTTTTAAAAAACTAATTTTCATTGCTGGGCGTAGTGATGTACTTGTGAGTCTGAGGCAAGAGCATCACAGGTTCAAGGGTGGTCTGACCCTGATTCAAAACTAAGGGCTGGAAGTGTAGACCAGTCATGGAATGCTTGTCTAGTATGTTCAAGGTCTTGGGTTCTTCACAGACATACTTCACTCATTATCTGTCTTTTGTGACCCAGGCAACCACAGTTGTGTCCCCAATGCAGAGACTTCCTTCCCAGAAAACAACTTTCTTTTACATGTTACCGCTTTGGAGGACATTAAGCCAGGCGAGGTGAGAGGGCTGGGCAGCACGGGTGGGCATAGGGCCTTGCAGCTTCTCTCCAGGGAGCAGCAGGAACTAGCTGGAGTCCCTTTGTTGGGCTGGTAGGGCTGTGGGCTGGAGTCTTTTTGTCATAAGTATGCTTTGATCCCTCCCAGTTCTTCAGACATCCTCAAAGTCTCAGATTGAAGTAGAGCTATGTGCCCAGGTCCCTGACCCCAGCTACCATTTTGATTTCTTTGTGGTTTGAGCCACAGGGGTTGGTGTGAATTGAGAGTCCTGATTGGTGGCCACAGCCTGACAAAATTTTCTCCTATACAAGTTATCATACTAAGATTAACCTCTGATCCCATCTACAGAGCTTACCTACTGACTGGTTTTCCTCAGGGTCTGAGGCCAACCTCCATCCTTGTCTATCTCAGACCCAGGTGGGAGTCTTGCCTGCCGAAGGCATGAGAATGGATCAGTGTTGAAGAGTATTGAAGGCCTATTCTAGGCAAGGAACAGTGGTTGACAATAGATATGGCAGCTGTTGGGGAAGTTCTTTTTTGTTTTGAGACAGAGTTTCTGTGTAGCCCTGACTGCCCTGGAACTTGTTCTGTAGACCAGGCTGACCTCTAACTCACAGAGATCCACCTGCATCTGCCTCCCGAGTGCTGGGGTTAAAGGTGTATGCCGCCACCACCTGGCCGGGGAATCTTTTTTAATATGATGGAGGGCATAGGCAATCATACCCTTCTCTACCCCACAGGAAATCTGTATCAGCTACTTAGATTGCTGTCAGCGGGAGCGCAGCCGCCACAGCCGCCACAAGATCCTCAGGTGCCAGCTGGGGACATGGTTGGGCTCTGGGCTTTTCCATCCTAGCAACTGCCTTACCTATCACCCCTCTACGTTGAAGGGAGAACTACTTGTTCATCTGTTCCTGTCCCAAATGCCTGGCAGAGGCTGATGACCCTAATGTGACCTCAGAAGAAGAGGAGGAAGAAGATGAGGAAGGAGAGCCTGAGGATGCAGAGCTAGGGGATGAGATGACTGATGTGTGATGTGACCCTGCCTGGAAGGGGCCCACCCTCCACAAATGTGGTTGGAAGGAACAGCCCCTCCCCCTTGCACCCATTGCCTGCTTTCTCCCTTCTGGCATTCTGTCAGGAAAGGAGAGAGGCTGGACCTGAGCCCCACCCCTCACCAGACCTCATGCCCTGAGCACTGCTGCTGAGCTGCATTGGCCCTGTGCCATCACCAAGCCTTCCAGAACTGGTCTTCCCCTGCCATGGTCCACCGTAGCTGTGAGACTGGAACAGGCTCCAGGCCTCATAGTTTTCTTCCTCTGGGCTCCTTGGCCCATACTCACCCATCCACCTGAGGCTTGGCCCCTCTTGACTGGCTGTTAACTTGAGGGGAGCAACAAAATGGCCGGTCTGAAAGCAGACTGGTTTCCTTGAGAGGTGATGCGATGCCTTACCTCTTCCTTACTGCTCACCTACACAGCTGCAGCTGAAGTAATGGCCTGCCACTTGGCAGCAAGAGGCAGGAACAAAGGTCTAGGCCTTCAGAACACTTCAAAAGACTCTGTGCCTGGGATGCTGGGCTGTTCCCATTGGACACCGGGGAGGTGGAGATTAACCTATTCTCCAGACTCCAGATTGTTGCGCCTGTGCCTTGGCTCTTACGCTCAGGCAAGGTGGCTAGCCCTAAAAGGTATGGAAGAGGCTCGTCTTCATCAGGACTCTAGCAGAATGCCAGATGACAGATTGTGCTCCTTAATTTAGGATGCTCCACTCTGCCCTGCGACCAGCTAAAATGGTCCAGCAAATGCTTTTAAGATATCCATAGAGGAACACTGAAGTCTTCCAGAAACCTGAAGGAGCTGGGCAGATGCTTGGAGATGAGCCATGACTTTTTCCTCCTTGCCACAGATGATCATCTCATTCTTGGGGTGGGCATCATGGAATGACAGCTACCCCCCCCCCATTCTTTCCCCAAAAGGTCTGCATAGCCCTGCTAGGGGCTGCCAGGGAGGACCAGTGCCTATGCTACAGGCTTTTTCTAAGGAGGAGCCAGGTGAAATGTGCCTGACTAGCCCCCTTACCTGTTGGGCACACTCCTTCACAACAGCCAGCACTCCTCTCCCTCTGGTCTCAATAAAATGTGAGTGGTGATGGGCCTCTGGCTGTGCTTTGTGGAGAGTGGGCTGTGTGCACAGGGCCCAAGTTACACCAGGGGGTGGCAGCAGAATGCTCCAGGTTTCTCATACTGCCAGCCGCAAGGGTGTGTTAACATCCCTAAAGCCAACAAGGTCTCTGAGGCTGGATTTCAATTGCTGGCTCTAGGTAAAGGAGTCTTTTTCCCAGAGGGCTGAACCACAATTAGCAGTCTGTTAATCCTAATGGGATTGAGAAGCCTTGGCCTTCTGTGAGGCTCCGCTAAAAGCAGCAGTAAGTATGATGTGGGACCAAATAAATGAGTCCACCCACACCCACGCATTCTTAGTTTAGGACACAGGTACAAACCTGATGAACTTTATTTACCTTTATTGCTAAAGAGTAGAGAATCCTTAGGCCCAGAATAACTATTTCTTTAAACCACTTCAGCAAGAGCTACAAGAGTCACTGTGAGGAAGTCCGGGATGTGGGAGGCTGGAAAACTGGTGTGTGACAGGTGGCCGAGGAGAAGGCCACCTGCCTTCAGCACCTTTTGTTCCAAATTCTACCCAGACGTCTTGGGCCTGGTTCTTGCCTCTTACTGGAGCATGAGATGTCCTTGCAGGCCCTAAGGAAGGGAAAGCCACGAGTGTGGCTTCCCTGTCCCATCCCCGGCTCTACTTGTCCTCAGAGTCTATCTCCAAACTCCAAATGGCAGAATCTTAGGGTTTTTTTCTTCCCAGTGAGTCACCTGTGGCTGGAACCTGGGGTAAGCTTTTCTACCAGAAAGTCCAGGGAGGTTGCAGCAGCTCAAAAGTGGGGATACTCGTGACATTGACTGGGATAGAGATGATGGCCCATGGCAGCCCATGCTGTTCCAGAGAGCGTCGGATCATGTAGCTGGGAGGGCATGAAGAGCAGTCACTTTCTCAGCACCCCAACACTGCCCTCTGCCTGTTACTCTGGGAGTTTCCAGAATCTGAGAACTTTTTTGCCCTTTGGGATAGTCAAGACAGGGCCTGTGAAAGGGGACTGGTGATTGCCTTTGACCCCACCACGTCACACCACCCAATTTAGTGTGGACAGAGAGAAGCAAAGAGCAAGCCCTCACCCATCTCGGCCGAGCAGGAAGAGGGCAGGAATGTCAGCTGTGCGTTGAGTACTATCCTGGATCATCTCCACGTAGAAACTGTCATTGTCAACTGCATTGTCCGAGATGATCACAGCCCGCCCACCATGCTCCTGTACCACCCTCGTCTTGGAGAGGAAGGAGCAGCCCCTGGAAGAGGTTGGTGATGAGACCAAAGGAAAGGCTAGCTGCCCCTCCCTCACATCCTCTCTTTGGGAGAATGAAGGACCACAGAGAACTTGTATTGAGGGTCATCAGTACACAGCAGAAAGTAGACAAGACATTTCTTAAAGACCTGTAAAGGATGAATTATTTAAAAACTGGCATTTCAAACTACCATGAGCTGTGATCAGAATCTGCCCTCCCCGTGTGTTACGCCTGCCCACTCCTTACCCCCTTTCCACCAGAGCAATCTGGTCCTGGATGAAGAAGCCGTTGCTGAGTTCCCCACAGGCCTCTGGAGGTTCAGCAGGGACAAGGTGAATCTGCTCATACCGTGTGTGCTGAAAAATGTTCAGACAGTAGGACAGGGAAGAGTGTGAGAAAACATGGCTTTGGAATGAGCTAACAATCCATCGCCCTGGCACCTCACACCGAGTTCAGGAAGAAAATGGAGTGCTCTCCCTGTGGCTGGGCACTCTAGCACTTTCATTCTCACCAAGATCCATCTGACTAGGCACCCCCCCCCCCGCCTTTCTGTGAGAGGGCGCTGGTTATAACCCAGGGTGGGGGAAGCAGGTGGAATTGACAAAGAAAGCCAGTGCCCTTGGTTTCTCAGGTAGTTTCCACCAATGAAGGGAGTCTCCCCTTGGTTTAGTGTGCGGCAGCTCCTGGAGGGCATGGTTGGATTATGCTCCCTGCTCTGTCCCAGCATAAAGGTGGGATGAGAGTCACCATGGTTCACTAATGGCAGCAAGGCTGCTGAGGGTCAGAAACCTGAGCTTCTTTTAACTTACAAATATACCACCAAAGTCCTTGGCAGGCGTGGCTGTGAAGATGTAGCGAATGTCCCCGGGACTCAGCACTTGGAAATATAAGTAGTCATGGATACGTAAGCCTAAAGGAAAAAGTGCAAACACAAAGCCTTTTAGGAGCCAGCTGGTTGGGCTTCCTACGTCTTCACCTGGGTGGACTGGGGTCTGGATCCAGAGGCCCTGGCATCAACTGATTGGATCCTCCGGGAGCATGAGATCTTATTTATTTCTTAAGCAGGGTCTCACTATGTAGCCCTGGCTCGCTCAAACTCAGAGATCCACTTCTGCTTCCCACCCCTACCAGTGCTGAAATAAAGGCATGCACTACCACCTGGAAATCTTTTTAAAAATGGCCGCACACAGCCCAGGCTGTCTTTGAATTAGTTTTGTTTCCTTGGTGGGCCTTGAATTCTTCCTGATTGCCTCCCAAACATGATTACAGGCATGCAGTGCCACACCCAGCTTGAGAAATGATTTCTAGACTGGACAGACAGACTGGATATAAGAGATTTGTATTTGTTGTGCTCCTACCACAGCAGGTGAGCCACAAAGACCCAGAGCTCTTGGGTTAACAGCCATCCCTGCTCTGAGATCTAAGAGTTTCTGAGTGGATAGAGAAGCCCCCAGTTTCTAACCAGATCTTTAAGTTAGCTCTGGTCTCATTGGCATCTCCTAGCCCAGTCACTGTCATCTCTTCTGACTGTTCGAGCTTAACTGCTCTTGCTCCCATGTCTCTTTTTTCAGAAAGGGTCTTGCTATGTTGCCCAGATTGGTTTTCAACATCTGGGCTCAAGCAATCCTGACTCACGTTGCCATCTGCCTTCATTCTGTAATTTACATTTTATGTATATGTGTGCTTTGGCTGCATGTATGTCCATGCACCATGTGTGTGCCTGGTGCCTGCGGAGTCCAGAAAGAGAATATCAGCTCCCCAGAACTGGAAGGAAAAGCAGCAATGAGTGGGCCCTCTGGAAGAACAACTAGTACTCCAAATGCTGAGCCATCTCTCGGCTCCCTCTCTCCATTGTCCTCCCTAAGGTCCTCCTGCCACTCACTCACTGCCAGAGCCTCAGTGTCCCCTTCACTGACTAAAATGTGTGCCACTGCTCACGGTGGTGTAGAAGGCACTGCTTGATCGACTCCTGCTCCAGATCTGTCATTTTCCCAAGTTCAAGCATACTAGCTTCTCTGTGTTTTAATCTTCTTGTGTCTTCCTAAAAGTTTCCCTGTCATTTCTCAGAAAGATGCTACCCTGTTCCTTCCTATAGTCATTCAAAAACGTACTTTCTTCCAGCTAGTACTTCCTCAGTAATTATGGTGTTTTTATAATAGTCTATATCTGTTTCTTAGAGCAATGATTCTGAGTTTGTGGTTTTACTCAGTGATGAATCCCTAGTGCCTAGGAGGACACAGCGGCAGCTCAGCAAAGGCTACTGAATGAACAGCTGCCCAGCTATGCTGTCCTGAACAAGAGAGCTGCCGGAACAACCAGGGTTTTGCTAGGATATAGAAACTTCTCAGCATCGAAGTTTAATGTTTTCCTGGGAGTTGAGTCCCTGGATTCCTTAAGGTGAGTGAATGTTGATGGATGGAAGCCTTTGCCTCAGGTCTGTTAGTCAATTCAACAACCAAGCTATCAATGTGTGTGCTGTGGTTATAGCTGTTTCTGTCTATGGCCCAGATAACTACCCAGGCAGACAACTACCTGGGTGGACAACTACCCAGGCAGAGCTCAGGGGGCTCAGCTTATTGTCCTGTGTGTAGGCACACTTCATCGGATGGATACGCCCCTAAGAAACCCTTCTGGATTAACATGCGGCACCCTTTTCCCAAGCACACTCCTGTCTGGCGTTTGATGTTCTTATCTCTTCGGGTATATGCATGTGTTCACTTAGCGCGTAGGTGTGTACATTTATGTGCGAGTTGTGTAAGTGGGTGCCTGTGCGTGTGAGCCCACGTGCATGTTCCTGCCTGTATGAACGCTCACGTTGCTCCATTCTGGATCTCTAGTTGTCACCCGGGTCGCCCTCGGGAGAAGGAGGGCTGGAGGATTTTGCTTCGACGTGGGGAGCCTCGGTCTGCGCCTACTCCGGACTCCGGGGACCAGCACCCACCCACTGAAGTCGTCTGGCCCCAGAACCTAGCCAGCCCAAACTCCCGGGGTCCCCAAGGTGACCCGTGGCCCCCCGGCCCGAGCAGCGCACACGCTGGATGCCCGCCCCGCCCGCCAGTCCGCCGCCGCTCACCGTGGGCCGCGACGCACGCGGGTAGCCAGAGCACGAGACAGCACCA